TACAACGAAGGACTTGGAAGTTAGCTTTTTCCAGAAAAGACCAGATTCGTCCATGTTAAACACCTGGTCGTCGGTGTACTGTCCTTCCTCCATAATCTCACGTAAAAACGGAGGAAATTCCCTAGCCGCAGCACGGTCAGCACTCGCTTCTTCACCACCAATGTTTATATTCGTGATCTTGTTCCGGATCTTAAACCTCTGTAACCACCCAGAGGAAGCATTAAAGGGTTTGGGCTCTGTAGTTCCCATCTTTCGTGCCACTGCAATGTACAGTTCACGTGCGTAGTCCTTAACAGAGCACGTGTCGACCGCCATGTTCCGTCGCGCCTGACGCACCAAGTACCTCACAAGTAATTTTTCTGTCTTGAGAAGCACCTGGTTGTGAAAATACTTGATCATAGAAGCACCTGTAGACTTTGTGATCTTCATGTGCTCCTTTATCTTGGCTGCATCCTTCTTTATTGTTCGAATCGTAGATTCATTCACACCATGCTGGCGCGCCAAATCAACCTGCCTTGTTCCTTTCTCCAACTCTTGGATGATGGTATACTTCACCTCGTAGCTTAAGGAACGTCGTGTCTTCTTTGGCTTAGTGCCGCTGGGTCCAGGTAAGGAAAGGTTTCTCTCTGGGGGTGGTGGTCCGGCGGAAGCCATTTTAGAGAACAATGGATGCACGTTTACACGGTCTGGCGTGGAGGGATGAAACTGGCGCGGCTAGGTCAAGGATCATCTTTCCTCCCGCCCTCCCTCCCCCGGGTGGACACGTCATAATACTTTAAGCCAATTACAGCTAGCAGCAGAGGGGGGTAGGGATGCATGGCCAATTACAGTCGGATACGTCATATGACGTCAGTGATAACGCAACAAAGACACACACTGCGCAACCTTACCGCGCGGCTTGCCCAAGCGGAGGGAGGAGGAGGGAGAGGCGAGGAGCACAGGCAGGCAGGCGGGTGGGGCGAATCTAAAAATAGCGTCATGCCGGACACTCTCCGCGTAATGGGGTTCACGCACCTCGTAATGTGAGCACGTTAGGTTCTGGCAAGGCACCGCGTTAACGTGGAAACGCGGAATGTGGGACCGCGTAAAGTGTGGGTTGACTGTATATGTTGTGTTGTCAAAGGAAGAGAAACAATTGAAACTCTGCAATTGTGTGTAAATGAGGCAGAAAGATAGATCAGCAACCTAAGACTTGGTCACAATTTTCGTGATGCCATATGGAAGTAGGATCTACCATTAGACAATACTGTACGTTATGCTTCCAATATCTTCCCAGGCGGTAGTATCTCCCTGTTTGGTAGACGCCTAAAACTTTTAGTAATATTACTTTGATACAACATGATAAATTAGACAAACACTGAAAATAAACAAACAATAGTTATTTACCAAGACCTTCTCTCTGAGAACAGAGGGTAATAGATGGAGGGAGATAAGAAGGCTATTTATAGCCCGTCTTTGTGTCGGAAGTCGACCGCACTATTAATAATTCATTTAAAATTTATATTTTTTACATAGAATATTCAGTACATGACTGCTCTTATAAAATAGGCCGAGATATACGGTATGTAATATTTATGTTTGTGTGATGTAAACAGAGCGCTTGGCCTCTCTCTCTCTCTGTATGGGTGGAATTCGTGGTTTAGAGTGAGTGATACGAATGTCGTAACATTACTAGGCTGAAGGCGCCTGAATGCTACTTAAACACATCAAAACTATGTTAATTGATCATTGTATAATAAATTCATTCACTCATAATTTAAAATTCCCTTATCATCCTGTGTTATATACAGAAATACTTGAGTCCCTGAGCGAGTACACAAAAAGAAAACGGAGGACTAAAACATCCTGAAGTGGGTAGAGAACGGACATCTCTACTGTTTTGTGGGCGCAGTAGCATAATATGAATACAGTAGTACCCCGCTTAACGCTGTCAATAAAACCCACAGGGTACCGTGTTAAGTGAAAACCGCGCTAAGTGAACAACAGAACATATGGGATTAATTCCAATAGAAACTGGCCCATCCCCAAACTCCACTTTTTCCGACACAATACCTATGTTCTAGTAAAAATAACATCTTAATTTTATGATGGTACATGCACACAATTAATACTTAAGAGAAATAGAGAAATACAGTCACCAAGTTAATGTCCATTCAAATAATGGACTCAACTCCCTCCCCCTCTTCTCACACAACACTGCTGGCTCTTCCCTCTCTGAGAAATTTTTGGGGGAAAACCACTAAATTTTAATAAATAATACCTCAAACTAAAGTTAGGATAATACAATTGACATTGCTGGATTCCTTGTAAGACCAGGAATATTTTGAATATAAATGTCATATATTTTGCACAAAAGATAACATATTTACTCAGAGTAAACATTATATCTAAAATTTGTATGTCTAATGCAAAATCTATGATGTTTATATTCAAAATGATCATCAAATTGTAAGAATTCCAGCAATGTAAATTATATTCTGACCAGGTAATTTGTATGAATTTTATGAGCTAAAACAAATATCTTCAGTTAATAAAAAAAAAATATATTTTTCACACTGTAACAGATGGTCGGTCGGTCCCTCCCCACCCCCCACCCCCCACCAACCATCCCACCAGATGTGTGGGAAAACCAGAATATTTACCTTTTTAGTAATAAATAATACCTCAAACTAAAGTTAGGATAATATAATTGACATTGCTGGATTCCTTGTAAGCCTAGGAATATTTTGAATACAAATGTCATATATTTTGCACAAAAAATAACATATTTACTCAGAGTAAACTTTATATCTAAAATTTGTATGTCTCATGCAAAATCTATGATGTTTATATTCAAAATGATCATCATATTGTAAGAATTCCAGCAATGTAAATTATATTCTGGCTGGGTAATTTGTATGAATTTTATGAGCTAAAACAGGCAGGGTGGCGGGTGGCGGGTGGGGCAATCTAAAAATAGCTCTCGAGCCGGACACTCACCGCGTATACGTGGTAAAAACCCGCGTTAAGTGAAAGTTCAGCTCTGGCGAGTCACCGCGTATACGGTAAAACGCGCTAAGTGAAACCGCGTTAGGCGGGGTAATACTGTAATATGTAAATTACAATTTACATATATATGTATACTGTATGTAAATTGTAAAAATTTAAATAAAAGAGAAAAACTAAATACGTAGCGTTTAAAGTGTACTGTATAGTGTTGTGGCTTGGCGCGGGGTTATGCAGTGTTTACAGTTCACGTTCGACATCACATGTTCAATTGATTTATGTGTTTTGTTTGTGAACAATTGTAGAAATAATTTATGTAATATTTATGTATACAGTATACCTGTACATTATATGTAAATTGTAAAATTTTAAATAAGAGAGAAAAACAAAATACATAGCGTTTTAGACCCGCGCGCTCTGTTTACTCCACACGTTCAGTGTGAAACACGTGTGAAGTTTTTAAGCGTCCTCAGTGAATTCTGATTACTGTTTCTCCAATTTTGTGACTTTGGAAAAGAAGAATATCTCTGGGAAGTGTTCTGGTGATCGCATTTCCAGTGGTGATCGTAAAAGAAAGGCTATAACACTTGAAGAAAAGCTTGATGTTTCATGACTTCTCAACATCAACCTTCTCCCCCATCAAGTTATATTCATATTTTTTCAAGGTAAAGTGTAACATTTGCTGTATGATTTCATTATTAGATATGAATGTAACATTTATTTAGACTGTGCTCTCCTTTGTGTTAGGCTAACTACGAATTTTTTTTTCGATTTGGAGTAATCTGCACCTAACCCTATTTTCTCCATAAGCCCTGTTATTTCTATTACGCGAATTTCTATAACACGATGTTTTACAAGAACACAACTATCGCGTTAAAGCAGAACTACCTGTATTTAGTGGATTTTTAGTAGTGTTTCTGACTTTATACGCTTTTTGGCTTTATGTGAGGTCTCAGGAACATAACCCCACGTAAGTTGTGAGTCTACTGTAAATAAATTTATCGTTATATATTGGAAAATTTTGATAATTTTGGTAGTCGTGATAAATTTGAAATATTTCCTGCCCGACTTCCCTCGCGAAATAAAAAAAAATTATCGCTATATACAGTATATAGGAAAATTTTGATAATTTTGGTAGCCGCGATGTAAAAAAAATCTTTATATAAAGTCGCTATATATCCCGACTACTGTACTGGGAACATTTTCTTGGAATTTTCCAGAAAATGTGCCCCTTGAAAATTGTTCCCAAAGCCAGAGTTTTCCGGAAAATTCCAGCTTGGGGAACGATTTTCCGAGAAAATTTCAATTCCGGCTATCAGAGAGTTCTGGGTTTGAGGGATTCCGGCTGGTGGAGATATTAACGTAGAGGATTTGTTTTACTGTGGATATTTAGACTCATCTTGTAGAAACTACATCACATAGCAAGAATTACTTGAAAGTGATAAAAATAGTAATAGATAATCTAAGCTAAGTTATTAAAAAAACACTAAATTGGTGATATGTTGAAAAATTTAGATTTTTCAGAAATATGTTGGATAAAGAACTCCTCTGAGATGCTTGGATGAAAATGTATGGAGATGTTATGAACAAGTGAATGTACTGGTATTAACAGGTTGGTGAAACACTGCTGGTGCAGTTAAATGTAAAGAGGGAGAGGTAGACTAATAGACTGCTGATGTCTTTTTGAGTAGTGGGCTCGGGTACCATTGGATCTCAAATTTCAGGCTTTCCTTGCAAACATAACCAACAGAAGGCACCTTTAACCACGAGGATTCAGAAAATGTATAGTTTCTGAATTTTAATTACAAATAATTATGCAGATAGGAAGTAAATACAGGCACCAGACACAGACATAATTGGTGATGACCGTGCCCTGACCCCATTGATTTTGTGACAGCCAGAGAGTGAAAAATTTATTTTACACTAACTGTAGGGTTTTTACTTAAAAATTATGTATCATAAAAAAAAATATTATTTTGACATACAGTATTAGTAAAAAAGAATAACTCTTTCAGGTATTGTGCCCAAAACACGTGACTAGTGTAGTTGACGCTGTGTGCGAGAGAATCAGAACATATGGATTGGAAAATGAAGAAGCTGTAAATATGTCTCTTGACAGATTGGCACAGATTATCTTAGTTGCATTACACACAGAATCTCTTTCTGGATCCCTCAGTAAGTATATTCTAATATAAAGGCAAACCCCAATTTACAAGGCTGTGAATTATATCCTAAATTAATGCATTTCTTTACTACCAGTTTGCTAACTTATTTCGATAACATAGGTGTCATCTTTCTTCTACAATCATCATATAACTTACTCCTCAAACTCACAAAGACAAGTAGACTCATCACCAGTAAGCTCACAGTCACTCAGGCAGATTGTCCAATTTATCCTGCTATATTTTTATGTAATATGTGTAAAATTAAAAAAAAACATATATGTTCTGGGTTCTCATGTGTCATATGCTAATTATTTACACTAAATGTGTAGAGTTATAAGAGAAAGTGTAGAATTTGGAATTGTGATCACTGGCTGGCTGGCTGATGGGACTGACAGCTTGGCAGAACTTGGTAACAAGTATACATAACATTTTGTGCCCCTTTGCTTACATTATTTTTCCATTGGCTTTAAGACACTTAATGCTATACCACTTTTTGAACATTTTAAGCCAGTCCATGGTGAAATCACATTGCTGTTGAATTTTAAATTCCTCCTAAACTCCAGAGCTTTATCACAAAGCAATAGTCTAGAAATGGCAATTCCTTTGTTTCTTCATTGCTTTAACCATTCATATTGCACTTTGTCCAGGCATTTTTATTCATAGACTGTGCTTAGTCCAGTTTGTGCAGAATTTCCACATTTATTTTTTTTACACTTGCTACTTTGTTTTCTTTAAACACTGTTGAACTGGAAATGTTGGTTAAAGCTCAAACAACTGTAACCACAGCATTCACGCTATTTCAACAAAGCAGCGTAAATTTAAGCTGACACAATAACTCGCTGGGAGGTCAATTGTGAGATTTTTTCAGAGAAAATTTATCTTTATTTTATAATAGGAGTTACAGTAATTGGAAAATGTGCATCAATTTACTTGCATTTTATTTTTGCACAGTACCTTTTGTATTTTTTTCTTCAGGAACATAACCCTATCATAAATTGGGGTCTGCCTGTAACTGCTAATCTCCAAGTTCCTTTTATCTCCTCTTTTCAGTCTAATGGAAGACTAATGTTTAACCCAATACATGTACTGTACTACAACCTAAGCAGGAAGAATTAAAGAAAAGAACAATCAAGAGGTCTGCACCTGTGGTTCATAGAGTGCCTTCAATTCCACAGATGGGGACTCATGGAGTTTTTAAAGGCCTCTGAGCCGCACAGGCACAGACCTGATGGAGTTCAGAATGAAATCCAAATGTAACAGGTGTGAACCTATCAACTTTGGAAGGACCATGAGTGCCATAGGCTGTGGAGTTTATAAGGGCCTGATGTGCTCAGAGGCCCTTCTGAACCTAACATCAGTGCCTGTGGCATTCAATAATCATTCCAAACCACACAGGTCTGCACCTGTGGCACTTGGGCCAGGCTCTGAAGTTGACAGATCCACACCTGTGGTACAAAGAGGCCCTCTTAAAGTTGACAGGTATGCATCTATGGCACTTGGAATGGATTCCAAATCTCATAGGTTCATCACACTTGTGGTGCACTTAGGCCTTTCTGAATTTTGCAGGCTTGTACCTGTGGCACTTGGAATGCCTTCCAAACTACATAGGTCCATGTGTGTGGTGTTCTGAGGCCTTTCTAAACCTCATAGGTCTGTGCCTGTGATGCTTGGAGCACCTTCCTCATAGGTCTGTGCCTGTGATGCTTGGAGCACCTTCCTCATAGGACCATGCCTATGATGCTCAAAAGCCCATCACAACCTATCAGGTCCTTGACTGGGGTATGCATAAGCTGAACCTCACAGGTCCACTCCTGTGGCACTTGGAGCAGTTTCCAAACTACACAGGCCTCTGTGTGTGGTGCTCAGAGTGCCTTCCAAACCTTACAGGTCTGTACCTGTAATGCTGAAAACATCTTCTGAACCACACAGGTGTGATGTGCATGAGACACCTAGAACAGATTCCGTTCTTCACAGGATAGTGCCTGCGGCACTCAGAAAATCATCAGTACCTCTCGGGTCCTTGTCTAGTTTATTAGAAAACCAAACCTCACAGGTCCACTCCAGTGGTGCTCAGAGTGCCTGTGACACAGGTACATACCTGTGAATCAAAATTTTGGTGAGCTACAGATGATTTTATCTCAGTTGAGTTGAATTTCAGGTTTAGCCACTTGACATAGGTTCATAGAATTAATATTCTCAGATGTTTACTTTGTCTTCACATTACTGTAAATGTATCTTGGTATCTCCTGCAGCAGTAGACTGTTATAACTTTTCTCTTTGTACATAAACCTTCCTTTTTTGCAGGTGATATGTGGGACTCGTTGCACAGGCTACCAAGACAGAACCGTCTTATTTCTACTCTTTTGGCTACTCGTGAAACCCGGTGACTACAAGAATTGTAATGACTATTAATCAAGTTGTTGCTTAGTCAGTGGAAAGTCCATTGTTGATGAGACCTTCAAATCCTCTTTGATATTTTTTAGAGGACAAAAAATTGGATTTATTTAACAGTTCAAATTGCAAGTGTACACATAAATGATCAAAGTAAGTCAAATTGGTAAATGCAACTTTTGTAATTAGCTTTACTTAAGAGCTTAAGGTTTTATAATAAAACTTGTCTTGTTTTATTTTGTAACAGCATTATAAGTTCAAGAGTATAGTGCATATTGTGCTTATAATTTTAATTCTTCAAAGGGTGTGTTTTAAAGTAATTTTTTTGTGGGGGGAAAATGGACAACAGTGCAGAGAAGAGGCATTACCAATAAAAAACTTATCACATGATTGTTTTGAATCTTTATTTAAATATACTTACCAGGCGGTGCAGATTATGTAGAATATTTACTTCTCCCCAACAAGTGACGTGAAATTTACTCGTCTGGATATATTTTTTGCCTTGACAAATTATGGAGGAAATTTGCTTGCTTGGCTTTTTATGGGAAAAGTTAAACAAACATTCAAATGTACTGTGTGTATCAACTTACAGATTACTTGTGTCCATCTAAAATATCCTCACCCAGTCAGTTTTCCTTGCTTCTTATTCACATTGATATTTTTACTTCAATTTGTAGCACAACTCTGCTTACATAATAACCAGTGTTGTTGTTGTTTTTTTTTTTTTTTTTTTTTTTTTTTCAGGTATATGTACAGATATTCAGGTCAATTTAATGTGAGAATAGACCAATAGAAATAGGAGGGATAAGTTATGATATCACTGAGGCTGTAGCACACACCTGGGTGTGGGAACAAAAAAGTCAGGAATAAATTTTTCTGTGACATACTGTGATGTCACAATATGGTGTCAGATTAAGCACACCCACAGCTCCTCCCTTTCCATCACTTCGCTGGTTTAAGGATCTCACTTGATAAACATGTACTGTACAGGGAAGTGGGGGTCATGCAGTACCTGACAAATTCCCACGTGGGTAATTTCTTCTCAAAATAAACTTGTCCACAGGGCACAAGAACATGTAAAATCACTTAGCTCACCATTAGGCTAATCTGCACAGCCTGATATTTACCTACCATATTTCCAGCTCATAAGATGCTACAAGCGATTAGACGCACCCTATAATTAGCAAAGTATATTTTGGAAAAAATTATTTTTGCAGATTCAATAGCCTTCCCTACTGGCAAGTCCAAGTCACTGGCTGTATGCTGTCATGTTTCTTACTACCACAGCTAACTATCACTTTATGGACATGTTATAAAACATGTGTTGGTATTCTTAATTAAATTTACCTGTTTTTGGAAAAACAAATATAATTATATAGGTACAGTCAGCTAAAGATGCATTGACCCCCACCGTGGCTCTTGTACTCGCAATTTTACTTGGCAATACTTGGTGAAGTAAGGCTGTATGTAATGGGGATTGTGATTGGTGGATCTATTTTCGGCTGTATCACTGTCAGGATAAATATTAAACACTCCAAAGGTAGAATTTTTATAAAAATAAACTATTCATTGTTATTTAAGATCATGACAAGTTTCCAGATGTTCATATATTTGCTTAAATAATGAAGACAATTTTATCTGAGAATCTTGTGGCATCCCTCATTGTAATCAAGTTGCCAATTCATTAATATAATTTCTTCTTTATTTCGGTAAGCAAATACTGTATACGAATATTTGGGAACTTGTCATGATCTTAAGGGGAGAGTGTAGTTTAGATCAAAGAAAAATTAAGAAAAAAAAAATCATAAAATATGAGAAAATTCCCAAGCAAAGGTGTTGCCTGTGGCTGTATCTGGGTGGAGTTTTATGATAATATTCGTAATATTTATGCAGTTATTTATGGTTTCCCCCCCTCCCTCTGCCCCCAACCTTCCTACGTCCCCTTGGGTAGACATATGAATGATCTTGGTAAAATATTTTTCCCCCAAAATATTGAATAAATAGAACATAAAAGACTATAGAAATTCATTTCAGGCAACTATCTTCTTCTCTGGCGAGTATAGGGAAGGGAAGACAAACAGTCACGTGTCATCAGAAGGTCCTGGACCTTGTCAAGGAAAGGTGTCTACAGTCAACCCTCGCTTTACGTGGTCCCACATTCCGCGTTTCCACGTTAACGCGGTGCCCTGCCAGAACCTAACGTGCTCACATTACGCGGAGAGTGTCCGGCGCGACGCTATTTTTAGATTCGCCCCACCCGCCTGCCTGCCTGTGCTCTCGCCTCTCCCTCCTCCTCCCTCCCTCCCTCCTCCCTCCGCCTGGGCAAGCCGCGCGGTAAGGTTGCGCAATGTGTGTCTTTGTTGCGTTATCACTGACGTCATATGACTGATTGGCCATGCATCCCTACCCCCCTCTGCTGCTAGCTGTAATTGGCTTAAAGTATTATGACGTGTCCACCCGGGGGAGGGAGGGAGGGAGGAAAGATGATCCTTGACCTAGCCGCGCCAGTTTCATCCCTCCACGCCAGACCGTGTAAACGTGCATCCATTGTTCTCTAAAATGGCTTCCGCCGGACCACCACCCCCAGAGAGAAACCTTTCCTTACCTGGACCCAGCGGCACTAAGCCAAAGAAGACACGACGTTCCTTAAGCTACGAGGTGAAGTACAAGATCATCCAAGAGTTGGAGAAAGGAACAAGGCAGGTTGATTTGGCGCGCCAGCATGGTGTGAATGAATCTACGATTCGAACAATAAAGAAGGATGCAGCCAAGATAAAGGAGCACATGAAGATCACAAAGTCTACAGGTGCTTCTATGATCAAGACAGAAAAATTACTTGTGAGGTACTTGGTGCGTCAGGCGCGACGGAACATGGCGGTCGACACGCGCTCTGTTAAGGACTACGCACGTGAACTGTACATTGCAGTGGCACGAAAGATGGGAATTACAGAGCCCAAACCCTTTAATGCTTCCTCTGGGTGGTTACAGAGGTTTAAGATCCGGAACAAGATCACCAATATAAACATTGGTGGTGAAGAAGCGAGTGCTGACCGTGCTGCGGCTAGGGAATTTCCTCCGTTTTTACGTGAGATTATGGAGGAAGGACAGTACAGTGACGACCAGGTGTTTAACATGGACGAATCTGGTCTTTTCTGGAAAAAGCTACCTTCCAAGTCCTTCGTTGTAAAGAATGCCAGCAAGATTCGGGGCCGGAAGATGCAGAAGGAACGCATCACCGTCCTGTTTACCACCAATGCCTCCGGTATCAGTAAGCTCAAGTTATCGGTGATCCACACAGCACGCAAGCCGCACGCCTACAAAACCATGGACATGACCAAGCTAAATGTCCACTGGCTGACCGCACGTAAGGCGTGGATGTTCTCTACACTGTCCCTCTCCTGGTTTGATGACTGTTTTGTTCCCGATGTAAAGAAATTCTGTGAGCGACAGAATGTGCCATTCAAGATTTTGTTGCTGCTGGACAACGCACCAGGACACTCGCCCCTACTGTTAGATCGTCACCCCAACGTAAAAGTGGTCTTCCTTCCTCCCAACACTACGTCTATATTACAGCCCATGGACCAAGAATTAATCTGTAATGTAAAAGCTGCATTCTCTATGAAAAAATTCAAACTCCTGAACGACTACACCAACACCAGGGAAGCGTTGCGTAACCTGAGTGACACCACCGCCAATAGCAAGAGCGAAGAAGATGAAGATCAACAGTTGGCACAGCAAAAAATACTGTTCAAACAATTCTGGAGAGTATTTAACATCAAGAAAGCTGTGGACTTCTTGGTGGAGTCATGGGATCAGCTGTCTATTGCTACAATTCGTTTTGCATGGAGACATGTGTTGCATGGAATACCAGGTGAGAGGAGGAGTCAATCTGTGACTGGTGAGGTTCAGACTGTTGCAGTAGCAGTGGACCTTGCCAGAGAAGCTGTGCAGACTGTTACAGTTCCAGGCTTCTCCGAGACCACCAACGACGACATCCTGGGGGTGATAATGGAACCTGATGTGACTACCGACGAGATGGTAGATGATGATGACGACGTCAGTGAAGAGGCAGGTGGTGCGTCATCCCAAGAAGAACAACACTTATCCCATAGTAATGTTAGGGGTGCCATCGAGTGTATCGAGAAAGCCAAGCTCCTCCTTTCCGACGACCATGACGCAAACAGGTATGAAATCTTCACTACCCAGCTGTTGCAGACTATGGAACTCTACTTCAAGGTGTATCACGACAACATCAACACCAGCCGTCAGCAAAGCATAACAGATTTCTTCGCCCGCAACCCACCACAGCCAGCCCAAGCCAGTGATAGTGACAGTGAAGATGACTTTGAGGGATTTGTCAGGGAAGCCCTGACAATTGTAAGTGACAGTGATGGTGATGCACCTAGTAATGGTGATTCACCTGAGGGCTAGTTATCTGCCCTCTGCCTCGGAACCAGCCTCCATCCCCGTATGCCGACCCATCTCTTCTACTAACGTAAGTGTTCCACCTAACTTTTAGTTTTCCTAACCTAACCTTTATTTTTCCTATGTTAACCTTTATTTTTCCTAACCTAACCTCTTCTATATTACTTGTTTTTTCATACCATCATAAAGTTAAGATAAAATTTTTACTACAACATAGTTGTGTGTCGTCAAAAAGTGGAGTTTGGGGGTCGGCCCGGACTCTATTTCAATTAATCCCACATGTTATGTTATTCACTTTACGCGTTCCTCACTTTCCGCGGGACCCTGCGGGTTACATTAACCGCGTAAAGTGAGGGTTGACTGTACTCTGCTGCACTGCACAACTTGCCTCACTTGTACTGCTGTACCAGGCTTCTCTCCTCGAATATCAGGATGGCTTGTGATTCAAAACATAAAAGAGAACAAAAGCATTGCTAAATCCAAGAGGATGAAAGAAGAAAATATTCGCTAAAACTAACGACGGTAACAGCCGTCTTGGGACAGAGGCAGCCCAGCCCCAGCTTTCCACTACTCGAAGTCCCCTACCCTCTACCTCATGTAAAGAATTTAACTGGATTTCAGTTGGAGATGTAAAAATACACAAAAAACAAGTTATTACATGTAAAATCAGCTCAGAATGAGCACTTACACAGGGGAGAAAGGTTGAGAAACTTTATTGGCCTGTATCTCAAAATGAACTTTTCCAACACTCAGATTGACAATTCTGTCAGTTTTTGACCGATTTCGATGAAACAAACACTCAGCAGAGGAAGAACCTTTCCTCAACATAACTACAGATTCCAAATTTACCTATCTTGTAAGATTAATTTTTGGTTGAATATTTAATCTCGATATTTTGACGAAAATTTCAACCAAACTTTAAAAATTTATCTCCTTAAAACCAAAGACAAAAGCAAACATTACGCCCTGAAATATTCAATGACAATACTAGATTTCTTAGTCAGGGGTGCCA